AGGTTCAGTGTGTGGACTAAATTGTGTGCATGTGCTTGGTACAATTTTATAATGAAGGCATATGAAAACACACTATATGGGGCACTTTGCCTATCATGTGCAAATGACACCTAAGATTTCAGAGAACTTGTTGTGCCATCTTGTAGCGTAGTGTAAATATTATTATCTTATTTTGAAAATTTTACCAATATTAATGAACATGATCAACAGTGAAAAGATGGAAGCAGGGTTACCGATAACCACCATAGATTGCGATAAGTTTCATTGATCGATCTCGTCCTAAAAAATAGACGCTAATTCGGCAGGAATCGTAGCTGTGTTATACGACATATTACGCGGAAGGGTGGAGGTCGGGGTGTTTATGTATACTCGATATAATATCATGTTGGCAGGATTTAGCAATTGAAATTTTGAAGGCCGTTTCGGACATGCAAATATGGCAAGCCCCAATATTGATAGCTTACACTGGCGCATAATGCATTGTCATGTGCAGAAAGGAGGAACATAGAAAAGGTACGAAGATGCAAACAGGGATGGACGATCCACTTAGCGACGGATAAGTTGTCGGAGAAGGAGAAGGCCGCGGTACAACGTTTACGAGATTCAGTGCAAGTGGAGAATCGAACGGTTTGGACATCCACGTACAACGGGACAATAAAAGAAGAACTAACACTAACCGGGCATGATTTGAGCTTGATATTGCTTCAAGGCAAATGGTTGAACAACGAAATAGTTAACTTTTATTTGAACCTCGTTAGGCTTGACAACATGTGTCGCATAAGCCATCGTGAGTATGACAGTGGACAAGACGGAAATGTAGTAGAAGGAAAAGGGCGCATCCCGATAACAACAATTTTTAGTTCCTTCTTCTTCGCGAAATTCTTCGATGACGATATGCAATACAAATATAGCGCAGTGCGAAAGTGGATGACAGATATCGATGTGGGCAACGTAGACTTAATAATAGCTCCATTCCATGTTCGGATGTCGAACCATTGCACACTAGTAATAGCGGACTTGAGACGCCAGAAAATAGAGTACTATGACTCGCTTACCCCTGACAAAGAATTCGCAAGGAAAGTGATAAGTGGTTTTGCAAGATTTTTGTTCGAAAGATCAGTTGAACAGGGTAAGGTGGTAGATACAAAAGATTTCAACCACATATGGAATGTGTCAGACATTCCTCGACAGCGCGACATTAACGAATGCGGTGTGTTTATGCTAACATACGCGTCACTATTGGCAAGAGGATTCCTCCCGCCGTTCAACTTCTCTTTCAACGACATCCAGGATATAAGGGGACAGATCGCGTTAGATGTACTTGTCACACCGAAGTAGGGGTGACTTGTGCAACAAAGGACATATGATAGACAACATTATCAAAGCAAATCACTTGTTCATATTGTGCAAATGTAAAGAGTTTATCAGCTATGCTAGGTAGACACCCATGAACATGTTCGGATGTATTTAACAAAGAAACAATGCGACATGCCTGATTGAACACCATGACTGTGTTACTCAACTGAGCTCATACCATTGCTACCCCTTACCCCTTACCCCTTACCCATATTACCCCTTACCCCTTACCCCTTACCCCTTACCACTTTACCCCCTTACCCCCTTACCCCCTTACCCCCTTTACCTCCTTACCCCCTTACCCCTTACCCCATAACATACTTAATGAATATCTGAAAAAACTATCACCCATATTTTACCATATCTCCGAAATTTCCTGGTGATGGCACGACGCGCCGCTTCAATTTCTTAAATTACATACAAAAAATCGCAAAAAAAGGACTTTCAACTTCGCGCAAAAATTAAAAAATGTTCGTTTTAACGAAATCGCTGTTAGAGAGAGAGAGTCCGCCATAGCGGACGGCGGCCAGGCCCGCCAAGGTCGACGAGAGAGAGGGGGGGGCAGAGAGAGAGAGAGAGAGAGAGAGAGAGAGAGAGAGAGAGAGAGAGAGAGAGAGAGAGAGAGGGAGAGAGAG